TTTTTTTTACAATTTTATTTATTTGAGAGAGAGAGAATGAGAGACAGAGCATGAGAAGGAGGAGGGTCAGAGGGAGAAGCAGACTCCCCGCTGAGCAGTGAGCCCGATGCGGGACTCAATCCCAGGACCCTGGGATCATGACCTGAGCCAAAGGCAGATGCTTAACTGACTGAGCCACCCACAGCCAGGATTTTTGTTCTTGGTGACATACGCAACAAATATTCCCTCAGTCTGTTATTTGCTTTCTAACCTGTTTATTTTTTTATTTTTTTTAAGGATTTTATTTATTTATTAGAGCGAGAGAGCACAAGCAGGGGAAGTGGCAAAGGGAGAGGGAGAAGAAAGCTCCCCACTGAGCAGGGAGCCCAAGCCTTTTAGCCTGTTTGTAGTGTCTTTTATCCTACAGAAATTTTGTGTTTTAATGTCGACATTTTAAATTTTTTATGCCAGTTAGCTTATGGTTGCAAAGCCTTGTGTACCCTGTGGCCATAGACAGATATATTCTCTTTCCTAGTTTTTTTGTTTTGTTTTTGCTGTTTGTGTTTTGTTTGTTTTTAAAGATTTTTTTTTTAAGTAATCTTTACACCCAGTGTGAGGTTCAGACTTAGAGCCCCAAGATCAAGAGTCTCAGGCTCCACCGACTGAGCCAACCAGGCGCCTGTTTGTTCATTGTTTATGTGTAGCTCCTTAGCTTGGCTGGAGTCCTTGGTCATGGGGGCTTGGTCCTAACTCTGTCCCGTAAGGGTGCCCGATATGCCAGCACCCGTTCGTTAGTGAGGTGGGCAGGCGGCTGGTTCTTGGCTTTGGCTGTGTATTGGGAAGCACCAGGGAGCTTTACAAAATCATGGAGCCTGGCTCCTGTCCCAGAGCGTCCCCCGGGCCTGGTGTGGGCCTCGGGGTCTTCAGCAGCTCCCAGGTGGCCCGCTCTGCGGCCAGTACCCACTCAGTGAGGTCGGAGGCTGGCTTATACTGAGCTTCGTAGACTAGACTCTCCTCCTGACTCCCCAAGTCCTCATGTGCTGCCAGCTTTGGGATCCACTGACAGACATGGCAGATGCTGAAGGAACTCTGAGGGGGGAGAGTAAATCCACCAGAATTTGTGGGGAATGATTCTTAGGGAACAGACACCAATGTGTCAGGTTCATGTCCGCCTTCGGTGTTGAGATGGGCTCTGGGTCGTGAGCCATCTTGTCACGGTGCGGCTCTGGGTGAGCGGTCACTCCCCGGGGGCTTGGTTTCCTCACCTGGGATCTCAGGTCCTATTGCGCCCCACCCCCTTCTTTTTAAAGAGCCGTGTTTATTGAGGTATAATTCACAGTAAAATTCGCTCGTTTGGTGAGTTCTGACAATGTGTCGGGCTCCCCAGCACCCCCATACTCAAGAGTATTGCTGTCACCCCAGTTTGCTCCCTGTACTCAGCACCCTCCTCCCCTTTCGGGCCCCCCAGCCCCTGGCAACTGCTGACCTGACTCCTGGCCCTGTAGTTTTGCCTTTTACAGAAACTCATGTAAATGACATCACCCAGCGTGTAGCTTTTTGTGTGTCTCCTGGACTTACCAACCTGGATGAATGCGAAAAGGAACATGCTCGTGCCGCATGTCCAGGGGCTCACCCTGGAGGCTGCTGAGCGGCAGGCGTCCCGCCTCACAGACGTACATCACATCCTCTTCTCCATTTCAGACCCTGGCCGGCTCTTGCGGGAAGTTCGCCCCTTTTGAAATTAAAGAGCACATGGTTCTCGCCCCTCGGTTTCGGACTGCCTTCGACCAAGACCTCTGTGATCAGTTGGACCAGCTCCTCCAGCAACAGAATGGCGAGCTCTCCTTCCTGAAAGATCTGAAAGGCCGGCAGCCCCTCAGGTCTGGACCCACCATGGTTTCAAACCGAAACACAAATATTTATAACAGGTTAGTGGCCAGGGAGACCGTCTTTTGCCTGTTGGTGACGTCAGAGCACAGTTGGAAAGTCCTGGGGGGCCCAGGGCAGAGCTCTGGGTTCTGGTCCGCTGCTGGCTCATCGTGGCCTTGGGCCAGCTGTCTCCCTCCTGGGCCAAAAGCCTAAATTTCATTGCTGAAGTCTCGTGTGCAGCGGCCTTGTTGAAAGCCGCTGCTGCAGGAGGGCAGACTGCCTGGCCTGGCTTCCCGGTCTTTTGGGGGAGGGATCCTATTTTCATGCCGGCCTCCCTGGGAGGACATTTTGCTGTTCTTGTTGATCTCCTTGTTCTATAAGTGCTGTGGGGCAGCAGCTTGGCAATCTTGTTTCTCCCTCCTCCTTGCTCTGTGTCCCTGGAATGAACGTCCCTTAGCTTTCTTGGGAGCAGGTGGTTACCCATCTTTGTAAAATGTTGGTGGCCTGCTTCCTTGAGAAGCCTGGGTGTCGAGCGGGCATGTTGCGGAGGAGGCGCATTCCTGGGTTTCTTCCTCAGCGATGTGCTGATCGTGGAGAGCGGCAAGGTGGATGGCGTTCCTAAGAGGAAGAAGTTTGGCAGAATGAAACTCCTACAGTTTTCTGAGAATCACCGGCCGGCATACTGGGGGACATGGAATAAGAAGACAACTGTCATCCATCCAAGGGACCCCTGGGCCCAAGACAGGGTGAGCACGTGGCAGAGGTGCTGCTGGTCCAGGCACGTCTGTCTGTCTGCATCTCCTCGCTTTGCCTTTTTTATGCTGGTCTCCTGGATTCTAGCGTTTCTGCTTTGCCAGCCCTGAAAGACAACCATGACGCACTGCGTCTTTGTTTCCTCAGAAGCTCCTGGACTATGAGGTGGACAGTGACGAGGAGTGGGAAGAGGAGGAGCCGGGAGAGTCCCTCTCCCATAGTGAGGGGGTGAGCACGCACCTGCACCTCGTTCGGGTCTCGCCCAGAAGGCTGAGTTCACTCACAGCCAGCCTGTGTTTGACGGCAGTGTTGTCTGAAAATTTCAGCCGGCGTTTAACACCCAGATTTCCAGGGGCACCTGGGAGGCCTAGTCGGTTGAGTGTCCAACTCTTGGTTTCGGCTCGGGTAGTGATCTCAAGCTCGTGAGATGGAGCCCCATGTCAAGCTCTGTGCTGAGCAGGGAGTCTGCTTGAGATTCTCTCTCCCTCTGCCCTCCTCCCTCCCTCCATGCTCTCTCTCTCTCAAATAAATAAATAAATCCTTATTTTTAAAAGAATAGTTAAAAAAACAACCACCAGATTTCCAACTTCTCTTGGAAAACCTTACTTGGTGACGCTAGCCCACTTGGCAGCGGGACTGAGCAGTGTCCACCCCGTTAGGTGGGGCACGCTTACCCCTGGTCTGCCCTGGTCCCCACCCCCTCTTCTGTCTTAAATCTGGGTGACTTCACTCGCTTGTGTTTTGCCTGCGCCCCCTCCCCCGTCAAATAATGGGATTCGTTCATGAATTCTTATGGACCCTGTGTCCATAAGGATGATGCTCAAGGCAGTAGATGGTTTTTCCTTCCTTAGATGTTTGCAGGTTAACATTTTAAATGAGGTATATATTCAGTTGCCACATATTATGAACATCTTTTTTTTGTTTTTGAGGATGATGATGACGAAGTGGGAGAAGATGAAGATGAGGATGATGGTTTTTTCGTGCCCCATGGGTACCTGTCTGAGGACGAGGGAGTAACCGAGGTGAGGGAGCAGGGTGGTGACTGTCCCAGAGAGAGCTCGCTGGGCCAAGCTTGGCTGCTAGCCTGGGGGCCGTTAAGACTGTGTGACAGCCCTAGCTCATCCACCTGGTTCCACATGCATTTTGTGACCCCAACATGTAGTTATTTGTGGGGTCGCAGGGACCTGAGCTCGGGTTTTGCTTGGGGAGGGTAGTGGGATCTGCAGAGGTAGGAGAGAATCCCAGGTGGGGAGGTGGCATGAGGAGAAACCTGAGTCGGAGAGGCTGGGGGGTTTGTGCTAAAGCACTTTCGTTCTTTTTACATTTTCTTAGCTGAGATATAATGAACTTAGAAGAAAACATGCAGATCTTAATTATTGAGTGCAGTGAGCTTTAATGATTGACATTTGTAAATCCATCACCCAAAATAAAATCTAGAACTTTCTGTCTCTCCATATGGTTCCCCCGTGCCCCTTCAAGTTAACCCCCAACCCCTGCCACCAACTTGCTAGACTCTGCCAGATGGCTGCTTTTAGGGCTCCGACAGCCCGTCAGGTTGTAGTGTTGGGGCAGTGGAGAGATGGAGAAGTAGGACGTTGCCCTGGGGGAGTGGTTTTGTCTCTCCAGATCAGACTAGAGGGGCAGGTGTTCCTCAGGTATTTCCAACCAGCGAGGCAGCCGTGTCTCTGGAGCCCATGAGCCTCCCCGTCCCTGAGAGCGGTGTTGGGCCTGGCGTGGGAGGAGCCTGGCCCGGAGGGTGAACTGGGCGTGGGATTTGGGTTTGGGAATTGGACGGCCCTGGCATCACATCCTCCCCAGAAAATCTAGAGTGGCCTTGAGCGGCTTACCGGTGAGGCTCGGAGAATACCTGAGACTCTGCCAGTCACGGCCAGAGAGGATGGGTGCATCCCAAAACAGCAAAGGGTGCAGGTGTCAGTCACCATTAAGTCTAGGGAAGCACTCTGCTATCTCCCAGCCGGTGATGTTAGGAAGAGGGGTGCAGGACGCCGTGGGGGCCAGGAGAGGCGGACGCAGCGGCCCTGGGGGCGGCATGAGAAGGCTCAGGGGCCTGGGAACCCTGAGTGAGCATTGCTCTCCGCCCTGCAAGGAGTGTGCCGACCCAGAGAACCACAAGGTTCGCCAGAAACTGAAGGCCAAAGAGTGGGACGAGTTTTTGGCGAAGGGGAAGAGGTTCCGCGTGCTCCAGCCCGTGAAGATTGGCTGCATCTGGGCAGCCGATAAGGATGGTGGTGCCGACCTGAAGGTGCTGCAGCAGTTCACGGCGTGCCTTCTGGAGACAGTCCCCTCCGAGGAGGAGCAGACGCCCAAGGCCTCCAGACGAGAGAAGAGAGACCAGCAGAGTGAGTGCCGGTGCCTGGCGGGAACGGGAGGGGATCCCAGCTGTCCTGGGCCCAGGGAGACTTTATTAGGTGGCTGGACTAAGATGTAGAAGTCCTTCCAACAAATCACAAAAGCCAGCGCTTGCTGAGCACATCTCTTCCTTCCTTAAGACGACAGCAGCCCGGGGCGGTCCTTTAATTAGCCCGCTTCCCCAGCGTGCCTGGCTCAAGGTCGCACACGTCCCTGAGGACTCTGCCTCCTCGCTCTTCAGAGCCAGGGGAGGCCCAGTGTCTCAGGAGAGCGTGGTGACCATGACTAAGGAGAGGGAGGCGTGCTAGGTTATCCAGAGAAATCCTGCCTCGGGAGACGGGCTTCCCAGCCTCCTGCAGCTCACGAGTGTGTCTGAAACCTACCCTTGAAAGGCCACCCCGAAGCTGACCGCGTCTCTGACCTTGGTAACAGACCGGGGAGCCCTGTGCAATGTGTGTTCTCTCTCCCCGTGTCTCCCCGCCCCGCCCCCGCCAGTCTTGGGGCAGTTGCTCCCACTGCTGCACGGGAATGTGAACGGAAGCAAAGCGATCATCCGGGAGTTCCAGGAGTGCTGCCGCCGGGGGCTGCTCAGCAAGGACACGGGCAGTCCTGACAGCAGCTCTGCCAGCCCGCCCAGCCCCGGCTCCTCCCGCCCGCAGACCCCCACCACCAGCGAGGACGCCGCCGTGCCCTCCAAGGCCAGGCTCAAGCGGATAATTTCCGAGAACTCGGTGTACGAGAAGAGGCCTGATTTCAGGATGTGCTGGTACGTCCACCCGCAGGTGCTGAAGACCTTTGACCAGGAGCACCTGCCCGTGCCGTGCCAGTGGAGTTACGTCACCATGGTGCCCGCGGCCACCAGGGAGGACAGTGGCAGCGTCCCCGCCACGGGGCCCGGCCAGGGGACGCCCGTCTCGCTGAAGCGGAAGTCAGCCGGCAGCATGTGCATCACCCAGTTCATGAAGAAGCGCAGGCACGACGGGCAGGTGAGGGGCGGGGCGGGGCGGGCTTTCTCACTCTCAGTGAGGTTTGCGTTTCAGAGCAGGTTTATTAGAGTCACAGCAAAACTGGCAGAAAGTACAGCGATTTCGCACGTTCGCCCGGTCCCCGCAGGCACCGCCTCCCCTCCATCAGCATGGCCCCAGGGCTGTGCGTTTGTCCCAATCCACGAACCCACGGGGGCCTGTCATTCTCACCCCGAGTCCCCAGGGGACGGTAGGGGTCACCCTTGGTGCTACACCTGCTGTGGATTCGGACGAATGTGTGATGACACGTATCCACTGCTGTGGTCTGCAGAGTAGCTTCACCGACCGAAAGGTGCCCTGTGCTCCTCCTCCTCCTCCCGCCTCCCTTCCGACTCCTGGGAACCACCCAGCTCTTTATCGTCTCCAAGGCCCTGTCTTTCCCAGACTTGGAAGCACACAGTGTGAGGCCTTCTCAGACCGGCTTCTCTCACTTAGGGATGTGCCTCTAAGGTTCCTCCGTGCCGTTGCCTGGCCCGATGGCTCATTTCTTTTCCTTTTTTTTTTTTAATTTAAGATTTTGGTTTTTTGTCTGAAAGAGAGAGAGAGAGCATGGGCAGAGGCAGAGGCAGAGGGAGAAGCAGGCTTCCCGCCGAGCAGGGAGCCTGATGCGGGGCTCAATCCCAGGACCCTGGAGCCGAAGGCAGATGCTTAACAACTGAGCCACCCAGGCGTCCCTTTAAGTTTGTTTTTATGCCTGTAGCTGAGCCTGAGATTCGGGAAGTGACATAGTTGGGCATTGTCATGAAACAATTTTATTTCTGTCTGCTGGCCCACATGGCACTCGGATAGCTGAGCAAGTGAACTGAGTGTGGTCGGTTAGGAGATCCTGCACCTGAGATGTTGGATCTTAACTCTGAACACAGGCTTGGAAGTCTGAAATGCTCCAGAAGGCAGTGTTCTCACATGGCTTTGCAAATAATTTACACTGTGAGTGGTGAAGGTTAAGACCGCCCCAGAGCCTGTGGCAGAAAATTGCCTCTGCCACCCACAGGCAGGCTGGTCCATCACAGGAATGGATGTAGAGCCTCCTGATGGTGGTCAACCGCAAAAGGATGAGAGCAAAGTGAAGTGATCATCGGGCACCTCTGGCTGCTGTGAGAGCAAGACTCCCCGGGGAGTGGCAGAAGACAGACCACTTGCAAAGCCACACCCACAGCCTCGTCCTTTATCTCCACCCCCCTCTCCCCCCCCAGGAGCAGGAGTTTCTTGATTTGCTGGTTAGTTTTGTGTTTGGTGCTCAACCAACACCTTCCCTTTGGCGGGGGGGGGGGGCTCAAGGTTTTCCTGACCCTTATTAGTTTGGGGAATACTTTTATTTTTCCACTGTCCCTCTCCACCTCCTCCTTTCCTGATTGTAGGTAGAAACTCAGTGGAAGCTTACACATTGTTTCATATTACTATGTAATGTGTTTGATTTTATTTGGCTCCCATAGTCCTGGAGTTGGTACCATAAAATCTCTGCATTTGGATTCCCTAGACATGGTCCTCGAGCGAGTGAGTGAGTGAGTGTGTGTGTGTGTGTGTTTCCCTTCCAGGGAACTTGTTAAAATGCAGATTCTGCTGTATCTTCCCAGGGAGTCTGAGATAGTCGGCCCAAAGAGCTTCATTCTGTTGTTTCTTTTGTTTGTTTTGTTTTTTTAAAGTACTCCAGGGGTTCTAGAGAATCTCACTTTGAAAAACAGTTATTTAAGAATACCAATTTTAGATAATCCAGGGTCTTCTGACTAGCTAAACAGTTGCTCTTTAGCATTAGAGCATTTTACCATTTGGAATAGAAGATTGCTTACATTTAGCTGTGAAATTCAGCCTGCTTTATTGGTGATTCAAGAATTATTTTTTTATAAACGATGATGTTGATACAGTTGTGTTACTGGAATCTCTGAATCTATACAAATGAACTCAGATCACTGGAACTTTCCCCAGTATAACTTAAATTATACAAGTATTAAATTCTTCGTGTTCAAAAAGACATAATCTAAGCATGACAATCCCTCTGGCCTGGGCTGTTCCAGGAGCTCCTCACCAGTGTGTGCGAGATCTCTTGGGAATACACAGTATCATTTTGTTTCCTTACATGAGCCATGTGCTGTAAATATGTTTCTTTTTCATTCTGGGATGTCTTCGGTATTTTTGATATTTTCTGTACAGGGCTGGGAAGATCTCTCGTTAGCTGCCATATCTTACACCTGTGGTGTGGACACACTGCAGTTCACGGAGTCATTCCCGTTGCTGGATGTTTCCGTTGTCTCTCATTCTCAGCCTTGACAAAACAACTGTAATGAGCTTCCTTCTGCGTGTTTCCTTGGGCTGCTGTTCAGTAGCACTTGGAGCTCACAGGAAGGCACAGGTGAATCTTGCCTGCTTGCCCTCCACCATGGCTGGAGCGGTTTGGGTTGCATGTCTTCCCCGCTGCTGTCTCTCCCCTGCCGGCAGGTTTTTAGCTGCTCCTGCTCCTGCCGCATCGCCACCTCTCCTCACCTCATTCGCCGCTGCTTATGAGCAACGAAATTAAATCTCCCTGTATATATAAAATCAGAGCAAGTGGCTCTGAGAGGATCCTGCCAAATAAAGTGCAAGGATGTTCATGCACATAGTTCAATCAGTCTTGACGACACGGGATAGTTGATGTGTGTGTTTCAGCTTCCTTCTGGGATCTTGGGTCTTGTTTTTGACAGCTGAGTTCCAGATAGGTAACGCGTGTGGTCTCCACTTGGAGAGAGTTCCATAAACACTTGGGCCAAATGTCAAGAAGATAACATATCAGGGGCGCCTGGATGACTCAGTTGGGTAAGCGGCTGCCTTCGGCTCAGGTCATGATCCCGGGGTCCTGGGATCAAGCCCCGCGTCGGGCTCCCTGCTCAATAGGGAGCCTGCTTCTCCCTTTCCCTCTGCCTGCCTCTCTGCCTACTTGTGCTCTCTCTCTATCTCTCTGTCAAATAAATAAATAAAATCTTTAAAAAAAAAAAAAAAGGAAGCTAACCTATCAGACCAGTAAGGCTCACCTGAGCGCCTAGGGAAGCAGTAGACCCTGGTTCTGCGTGAAATTATAATTGCTGTGGTTGTTGATCCTTAGCCGGCTCCTGGGAGTCATGTCAACTGTAAGCCTGGACTCACAGCGGAGGGGGAGCTCTGTAAGAGGCACTGATTCCACATCTGAAATTCACTAAATGTGGGCAAGACTGTTTTTCCCTCAAGTGCTCTCCTCACGAGGGAATCTGGCCATCACATTTGGTACTGTAAATTTGAACGCAAAGGACAACAGCGATACAGCAACTTGCAGATTCTGCTGTTAAATCCTTTCTGGTGGGGGTGAAGTCCAGGGACTTGGCAGGCAGAGTGGACTCTGGAGAGGCAGATGCTTTGTCTCAAGCCCTTGGTAAAACCACTTTGGTCACTGGCATTTGTGCTGGTGCGTGCTTAGTACAGACAGGCTTGAGCATCCCGGCACAATGTGGGTGGCGTTTGAGGTCCTTGCCGGCAAGTGGCTTTCATGTGACTGCTCAGCCATTTCCTAAGGGAAGGCTCAATCCAAGAAACTCGGTGTGTCCCAGGTAAGAAGGATGTCTTCTTGAATTTATTAATCTGTCATTCGTATTCTGCACGAGGTCTTGGGCTTTCTCAGAGAAATCACTGCTACCTAGTTTTGTTGATATGACAGAGCTGTCAAGAGAATAGGCCTTTGGTTTTTTGACTCTTCAGTCTCACATTTTGGTTGCCTCTGTAAGTCTCCCAAGGAGCCCGGGGAGTTACTTCTTTTCCCGTCTGCGTGCTCCCTCCCCACTGTTCTTCCATCGGATGGTTTGGTTTTCAGGATTCCCCGCTCTGGAGATAGCTTAGGCCAGTAGTCTGAACTTGTTCATACTCATACCTGAGGCCACGTCGCCTGCATAGGGAGTGAATCCCACGGTGCGTCTTGGTGAGTCCTTCTGGCCCGTGCTCACTTTGTAGCAGGGCGGTAGAGAATGTTGTGCTCTAGGATATAGGAGTCCTAGACCAGATCACCACCTCTGGCAAGCTGACCTTTTCCCCTGAACATTCACTCCACATCTCAGAAGGCAGAGAGTACGCATTGGTGGCTCATGGGAATCCAGCCCATAGACCTGTTTTATTTGATTCACGGTGTTAATTTTTAGACATTACCTACAAAATTTAAATAAAATTGCCAGTATCAGCTCCTCTTGGAAAAATTGGAAGGGGCTGCCCTGTTTCTTTTGTGCCTGGCCCCCTTCATTTTGGTTATCTGTCTCCCCGGTCTCCTGTTTTATCCCCAGATGCATGCATGTGCATGTTCATTGGAGTTCATGACCCCACCATGACATTTTGGTTTTTTGGTTCTGTTTGGAAAGGTTTTCACTGTGCTCTTTTTGTAAAGAAGTTCTTAATCGTGTGAGTCCCCTATCCCCCCCCTTCCCTTTCTTTCCCAAAGAAGTGTGTGATATGTTATATGTGCTGTAGTGATTGAAACAACCCATGTTTAAAGAGAAATGTTTTTCATTTCAGATAACTAAGAAATTGGTCAAAGCTTCTGCAGAGAAGGACAAGCGCAGACTGCAAAGAGTAAGACATTTCCCCTGAAATAGAAAGTTAACCTGCTGTGCTTTTTGCATTAAATAGTAAGCAAGGCCCCCGTGCACCACCTTTGCCTGTTGTCACCTTTCCCCACTTGTCCTGACCATGACTTTGGTTCTTGCTTCATTTCGCACAGCTGTGCCCTGGGACTTGTGGGTTGCATCATAATTTTTAGCTTTGCTAAATCATCTGAAGATTTTGCACGTAGCCTTTTCTAAACTTCTACTATTATTATCATTGTTATTCATACTGTCTTGAGAGCTGGGCATCCCATTGTTGTAGTTGAAATTTGCCTCCCAGGCCCCTTCCCGTGTGCTGTGCTGGTTTGGTGGCCATGACTAGGTGGGTGGTTATTGTCTAGTGTTGCCTTCTGAGTCTTCACTTCTGTCATCTGGAGGTCACCACATGTCACACACTTCAAAGCAGAGGACTTTTTTCTCATTGTCGTAAAGAGCAGGGAAGCCCCCTGCCCCCCCCCCCCCCACCAGCTTGTGGAAGGGTTGATGATGACAGTGGGTCTGTCCTCACCCGGTGCTTCCTGTGCCCCTCACCTAATGGCTGCATTCAGTCTTTGTGGGTCAGGTTTTAATGGCGGCGGTTTTAGAGTTTCTCTCATTCTTGGTTGGAATTTCAGAGGTGGACGCATGTGGGGTGGGGATGGACATGGGGCTCAAGTATGGCTGGTTTCCAGAAGCCTTCTGCCTTCTTATTTAGCAATGGGGACAGGCGACTCCTCACAGCCTTGCACGCTTTCTCCAGACCAGTAACCTTCTTCAGGTATCCGACCAGTCAGAAGAAGGTGCAGAGGATACTTTGTAAGAACTGAGCAGTTCCGCCATCTCTAACAGGGAGCCTCTGTGGCTTTCCTTAAAGCAACCAGAGGTTTTTCAGGGCAGAGGGTAGGATATTCCCTAGAGATGAGGGCACAGTCCTATACCCAGACCAAAAGCGGAGTTGCCAGACTCCTGATGTTGGGAAACCTGTTTCCGACAGATAGAGTCCTTGAAAATTCCCTGGTGCTATGGCAGAAGACGAGTGCCCACGTGTGGCAGGCGAGCCTGCTGAGTAGGAACTGAAGCTTATATAATAACGCAGTGCCTCAGGCCATGTGCCAGTTGTTTGGAATGAGGAACTGATGTAAAGATAAAAACAAATTCATTTTTTGCTTTTATTGTTTATTCTCATTTTCCCCCCTGACTTAGCAGGTTCCCGGTCCCTGCCTCATCCTGATCTTCCATTTCAGAGGAAATAAAATAAACCCTATAATCTGAGCTGGTTTGGGGAAGGTGGGAAGAAAAATGCTTTTGTTTTAAAGATAGGGAAGCAAAACCTACAGGTGTTTTTGTGTCTTTATTTTATCATGGTTTTATGATTAGGTAGCTGGGAGGTTCTTAGGTCATTGTTTTTAATTAAGTAAAAAGATAAAACTCCGCCTCATGTTTAAAGATGGTGTTTTGAGTGAATCTTATTTTGAATTGCCCAGGAGGTCCTGTGACAAATGGCTGGCAGCCATCACTTTTCTCCTAGCGGCCCGTGCAGCAGCGTGGCCCGTGTGGGAGGGCGCGGGCCAGTGGGGTCCCTCCCGGGTGAGCCACCTCTCCGAGCCCTCCCCCCGCACGTGGGCCCTCCAGGGAGGCGTGGGGACGCAGCTGTGGGACCGTCTCTTGGTGCAGGATAAGGAGCGTTTGGGCAAGCAGCTCAAGTTACGGGCCGAGAAAGAGGAAAAGGAGAAGCTGAAGGAGGAGGCCAAGCGGGCCAAGGAAGAAGCCAAGAAGAAGAAGGAGGAAGAGAAGGAGCTGAAGGAGAAAGAGAGGCGCGAGAAAAGGGAGAAGGATGAAAAGGAGAAGGCAGAGAAGCAGCGGCTCAAGGAGGAGCGGCGCAAGGAGCGGCAGGAGGCGCTGGAGTGCGTGCGCCCTTGGAGGGCTGGGGTGGGGGCGGTGCAGGGGCCTGGGGGGGGCGCAGGGGAGCGGGAGCACACAACCCCCCCCCCACACACACACACGCACTGCACACGCATGCCTGCCCGGGACCCTTGAGCCGCATCTCGCCAGCGCAGGCTGGGTCTGTATGCACCTGCGCTGCTGGGCTGAAGCTGAATTTCCTGTCTCCCAGGGCAAAGCTGGAGGAGAAGAGGAAAAAGGAAGAGGAAAAACGGTTGCGGGAAGAAGAGAAGGTAGGTTATTCTCACAGAACTGCTGCGGAGTGTTCCCTTTGCCTGGGGAAGCCAGGTGGCTTGGGCAGGCTGCACCTACAGCTCGCTGGCATGCAGAGTGGCTGATGCTGGCCTGGGGGTTGGTGGGTTTGGAGAGCTGACATCAAAGGAATGCTTTCAGCTGAAAAACTCTAGGGCTCCTGTTCTTGGGGCTACGATCTCTCTTCATTTGTTCGTGCTCCTCTTCCATTGCAGCGCATTAAAGCAGAGAAGGCTGAAATCACGAGGTTCTTTCAGAAGCCAAAGACCCCACAGGCCCCCAAGGTGAGCAGCTGGCTTCCTCTGGCTTGACTTTTTGTCTTTGTCATGTTCTTCCTTTTGAAAAGTAAAAGCGTATCTTCTGACCAGGTAGCTTCCCTTTCATCAAGAGGGGGTTTCTGCTTGCAGAGGGAGCTTTGTTTCTGGTAGAGGCTGGAGACGCAATATTTTGTTATTCGCTATGTCCTTGAAAAGGCTAAAAGTGGCACATTTACTAAAACCCCTGCCAAGTGTTCGGAGGTTGCTTCCTGAACGGTTTTGCGTTGGGAGCTGTGTGGGAAAGTGCCAGAGAAGACCTAGTCCTTACGTTCAGGGAGCTGAGGCTTGGGATAGGAGGCGAGATTAAGCATAAAACAATAGTTCAGAATTCAGCACAGAGCTCTGCTTCTCCAGCCTGGCATCTGTCGCCTTCTAGCAGCATCTGCTTCCGGAGACCCCAGACGTCCTTCTCCCTCCCTCCATGCTCCCACCCGTCTCCCCTGATGCAAGGGTGTCCATCTAGACCTTTCTGTGCATTCACATCCTTTGGTGTATTTGTGTGTTTATATAGGTGGTGAGTCATGGATGTGTCCTGTCCCTGCTTTGTCTACGTCACTGTATCTTGGATCCTTGCCATGCTGGCACGTTTGGGTCGGCTTCGTCCTTCCTGTTGCCACCTCCCGTACTGTGGGTGGGGTCGCAGTCTATATGGCCACTGCCCCGCCGCTGCCCCATCAGTGGCACACTGACTGTCACCGACACTGTGCCCGTGTGCCTTTCCTAGGACGGCTGCCTGGAAGTGGGCTTGATGCTCAGTCCCAGGATACGCACGCAGACAGAATTACTGATTATATTAGTTCCTGCGCAGGTGCCCCCCCAGCAGGAATGTCCGTGCTGGGCCTTGTGGGGAAATTAGCTCTTCCCCGCCTGCACTGGCATGGAATGGAATGTGTTTTCTTCTACCTTCACCAATCCAATGGGCAAAAAAATTGACATTCTTTCACTTTACGTTTTTCCTTGATTCCAGTTGGACATCTTTTTGTGTTTTGTTTGTCATTTTATATCTTCTGTGACTTGCCAATTCCTTTTTTTTTTTGTAAGATTTTATTTATTTGACAGAGAGAGAGACAGCGAGAGAGGGAACACAAGCAGGGGGAGCGGCAGGCAGAGGGAGAAGCAGGCTTCCCGCGGAGGAGGGAGCCCGGTGCAGGGCTCGATCCCAGGACCCCGGGATCATGACCTGAGCCGAAGGTGGACGCTTAACGACTGAGCCACCCAGGCGTCCCCACACTCAAGTACTTTTTGCACTTTTTATAAACACTTATTTTTGAATACGTTTACAGACAAGTTGCAAAGGTGTTACAAAAGTATGCTAAGTGACCATTTACTTGGTTGTCACAGTTTCAGGATCCAATCAAGGATACCACATTGCATTTGGTTGTGCATTTTTATTTTATTTTTTTTTAAAGATTTTATTTGACAGAGACACAGCGAGAGAGGGAACACAAGCAGGGGGAGTGGGAGAGGGAGAAGTAGGCTTCCCGCTGAGCAGGGAGCCCGAT